GAAACGTCTTTAGTGAGCCTAATTAAAACAAGTAGAACCACGACATTTTGGGGTTTGAACACAAGAGACTAAGACGTAGGAACATGGTATTACAGATGGAAATAGGAAAGATGCGGTGAACACTAAAGCTATTTGGCTAACAAAAGACGTATTTGATCATAACCATGATCCTTGAATCACAACTATTGCTAGCCAACCAGTCTATGACTTTCTATGCCCTAGTCTCTAGAATGCCAAACCCACAAACGTTGTGGTTCATCATTGAACCTTATCAAAGCAAGCAGTACCACAACATTTGTTGGTTAGCACACGAAAGACTAGGGCATAGGAAGCCATAAACTTGGTATTACGGATAGAAACAGGATAGACGCGGCGGCTATTTGAGCTATTTGGCTGATAGTAGGTTTTACAAAAGACGTGGTCCATGTAGCACAGGCATGACCATGAGACTTACTCAGAAGCTTTAGCCTCTAATTGGTCACCCAGACGCAGGCAATGGCGAATAACGCCTCGAGTAGCATAGAGGGGGGGGTAGGGGTCGAGTGAAATACGTGTACCAGAGTGATAGCAGAAAAAATTATAAGGGGCAAGAGGGAGACTCTGATAGAACCCATCGAAGGACTACATAACAATATGACAGACTCTGGTCAGCATTCCCAGCACAAGGGTGAAGGGGGTGAAAACGACAGTGTGAAGTGTGAAGGGTTTTCATAAATGCCGCCCGAAGGAGCACACCACACAACATCTAAATAGGCACGGTTAAAAATTGTGACAGTGAAGGTGTGATAGGAGGATATAGGAAATGTGAATAGAACAGGGCAGAAGGGGAGATACCACAACTACTTAGCACATGTTTGGTCAAAGGATAGGCTTCACTTGTCTCTTTGACGAGTTGTTGTGTGGTGCTAAGAATGACGATACTCACTGACGATGACGACTATGATGCCGGCGAAACGTCTGGGAAAGTACCACGCCCACGACTTTGGAACTGATCATGCATACAATAGACTCCGGACTAGGTGCGTTCCTCTAAGTCTTCCTACCAATATGACCAAGTTGCGAAAATACGATCAAACAACTTCTATACAACGAAAGGAGATCGCAACAACATCTTGGTCGTCATACCTTCAATATGAATTCTGTTTCATCATTATTTTATATAAAAATTCGATATTAATTGAACTATTTACGAGTTCATAATACTCACTCTGTCGTATCCAGTTTTGTTTCAGGTCCAGAATTCACCTCTTCATCATTTCCGCCTTCACCGCCACCACCGCCATCATCATCGTCGTCCTCATCGTTCAAATTGTCTACAGCGATTGCCAAGAAGACATTCAGAAGAATGTCTAACGGACAGAAGATAAGCAGTGAGGAATTAAGGACAAATAATATCTCGTATAAAAATGAGACTATGACTCAATTTTAAACGTTTTCTATCACAGTTGTTGCACTCGGTAAGATAAAGAAACAAATGAGAATTTCCTATCTTAAATAAGTAGTTTCTTAAGCTTAAGTCTGTTTAGGATACAGGGTAAGATCATTTTAAATTTGCTTGAATACTTACTAAATTCGTTGGCTACTTCACCGAAAGTTGAAATAAGAGAACACGACATGAAAGCCATTTGTATTGGCATCTCATAGCAGAGAAGCTCACAAACGTGGCCACTACATACTCCGTCCTCGAAGAATCTGTGATCAGCTTATATCAGCCCCATAACATAAGATTTAATGATAACCATGCATATTTCATTATAATACGCAATGTTACGTGCATTATTTTTTGTATGATTTCCAATTAATCAGAAGACTTTTAACAAAAGCTTTATCTATCTTAATGTCGGTTCCCCCAAAATAAAGAAATTTTATGCGCAACAATATAAAATTCGAGTATAAAATGAAGTACTTACACAGGATAGTTGGGATAAATTTGCCCTTAAAAGATGTTTCAGGTATAAAGAAAAAAGTGGTGCTCTAATCTAGCTGTTGATAAACTTGCATAAAAACAAAATACAGAAAAATTTATATTGTCAGTAGGGCAAATAAATTCATAGCTGAGGAAATATGGGGCTGAAAAGGATACAGTTGCCACATATGAAGAGAATCACAAAGTAGATCACAGTAAAGCCGTAGAAGAACGGAGAATCTTTACAGGAGCGCATTCCGTTATACATCACTTCATTCCAATCTTCGCCAGTCAAGATCTAAAATTTTAAGAAAAAATATTTAATATTAAGAGGATAAGGAAATAAAATCTGCAATAAAGGGCTGAAAACAAAACAATCTACAAATACTTGACCATTGCTAGCGTGCTCACATGAAAAGGATCTAACCTAATTCGAGCAGATATTTAAATATTCATATTCAACCCTACAAGCTTGATAATTTAGCTCAAGCTTGACACACTAAAATCCTAAAACTCAGTATTTACGTATATGAAATATAAGAAGTAGAGTTATTCTAAGATACCACAATAAATAATAGAGTGAAGCAACCTGTATAAAGAAATATTAAAGTGCAAAAGGCGCATAAACCATCGTTAATCGGTAAACGAGGTATTGTGAAAGCAATAGTCTATTTGATGCAGAAGATGCAAAAAGAATGTGTGAATTAATTTTTATAGAAGGTTTCCTTCGAGTTCCTGGTTAGAAAAAGGTGAAATCTAAGGAAAAATAAGGCTGGAGACCCTCAATGACTTACGCAAATGGACATTTTGGAACGGTACCATACGACCAGATCTACACTACCGGCATAGAGCCAAAACGAGATGCGACCATTGAAGTTTTTTATTTGCAGCTGTGAATGCCAAAACGGTTCTGTTGGCCAGGCGAACACTCAAATTCAAATAGTGTCGTTGTTACTTAGAAAATAAAGCGGACTTGATAGATGTGTCGCGTCTATTGCTCTGTCTAGCATGACACAAGCTTTTCTTTAATTAAGTTTGGTCGACTTGAAAACGGTGCCATGTGAATATTGAGTCTACGAGCCATAACCACTAATCTGAGGCACAAATTAAGGTTGGATTGCGTGATTGAAGAAAAAGGTTGTAAGCTAAAGCAAAAGTGCGATCATTTTTTATATTAAAGTTGAAAAAATTAATGTATGAGGCTATTGTAAACACTAAAAAAGATTAATCGAAGGTACGAAAATCAAGATTGTGTAGCCTTTTGTGTGGTCGCAGTCCCCTTTCGTTGTATAGAAGTTATTTGACCTTGTTTTCGCAACTTGGTCACATTGGTAGGAAGAC